AATAGAATAGAATAGAATAGAATCTATAGAATAGAATAGAATAGAATAGAATAGAATAGAATAGAATAGAATAGAATAGAATAGAATAGAATAGAATAGAATAGAATAGAATGGACTAGACGGGACTAGAATAATATGAGATATTATAGAATAAAATAATACATTATAGAATTGAACAGAATATTCACAGTTAACATGCTTAAAGTTTTAAAACAAGTCCATTCACTAAAACAAAAAATTCTCCATACCAAAAAAAACAGAAATCCAATGTATGGTTTGTAATATCACGTTGTGTTGATTTATAAACGGCAAGTGAGGAAATTTGGTAGTGGATACAAGACCTTTCTGGTGAAATTAACATATTTGGCGGGAGATAATTACCTAGCATACGCGAGGTGATTTATTTGTCTCAAATATGCTAATTTTTCATTGAGAAATAGCTGTTTATCCCTTTTGAGTGTAATATATACAAAATTATTTTGTATACTCTGTTCGTCCCCCACATGAAATGTTGATAAATACTAAAAGCAATATGTGAAACTGTCTGTATGATCCAAGAGGTGAAATTCAGTGACAATTGTACAAAATGTGAAATTATTTGCACTGAACTATGGGTGGGAAAAATGCCTTGCACTCAAACGGTTAACCTGGATTGTACTACTGATGAACACTAGGGTATGAAAATCACCTGTTAGTGTTACAATTCTGTAAATGTTATAGTCTGATTTGGAATATATTATGATGTATACAAATTTCACATGCATTTGAGGTTGTCAAATCTCACCTGTTATAGAGTGCATTCTAGACTATGTATTCCAATTCATGGACAAACAAGTCACAAACAATTATACAAAAAACAATACCGGTAGTATATTTCAACCAAAGTGAAAACTAAAAAAGTGAAAATATATTTTGATTCTTTGATACACAACAGACGACTGCTGATTCTTTGATACACAACAGACGACTGCTCCTACGGGAGCTACATGAATTCGTAATTTCATATCGGCGTAAACAGTATGTTTCGCAATACTCGCTGAGACACCCTCAGATAAATTGCTCAACTACAAAATTTCACGTTCCTCAACTTGAATATTTGTCACTTGTAAAAGTAAAAGCATTCTTCCAATTTATTATTATGGTTCGCCATGTTTCACAGATGCTTGTCTAGCACATTGATTTACTAACCCTAGCAATGGATGTTGCTATGGTGTTTAAGAACTGTCAATGTAAAGACTAAGTTAGTTATGTCAACATGACTGTGCTAACCAGTAGTAGGATTACAGTGGGCGTGTCCACTAACATATACACAATCATATAATATTGTAAACAGTGTTATAATAATGAATTCTTTTTTAATAATATTATATAATTTTTGAATCTATTGACAGAATTGCACTTCTTCCGATAAATGTACTTGTCACGAAGACACAAGAATTAATCAAGACACCCACATCAGTCGAATACCGTGTGGTTTGCTACTCGTGATATGTCAACATCTAAACATCAAAGTACTCACCGGTAGAGATTGGAGAGGCCTGGCAGGTAATTGCTGTGATAATCATAACTCTTCTCTTTATTTCTCTCATCATATCTTTTTCGAATTGATCCTTTCCCATAGTTTGACTTTTTTTAGAAAAGATATAAGTAGATTGTCGTAATTGTTTGTTTTGTGTATATGTGCACTCTAATACATAGTGACTGATTGGTAAGAACCGGTTATTTACACCCATAGATAAAGTAATGGCATTATTATTTAATATATGTGTATGCATTCGTGTTAATAAAACAACTTATAGGCAGTGTTGTCACAAGATAAATAGAATTTTTTTTTTATTTGGAACGAACCAATGAAATTTTGAGTAAAGTCCAAAAATAACAATAACAAAACAAAACAAAACATTCAGTCACAATATATTGTCAGCTATAGTATTGATCAGTGGGATTTGTTATCAGACCTTCGCATGCAGGTTGACGAAAATGTAAACAAACGATGTCACAGTGTTAACAACCTATACTGGGTGTATATTTTAACATTTGATTTTAATAGTACCTTAGAGGGTGTACAATTTTTTTTCAGGACTAGAAATGGGTTGCTTAAGTAAGAGAACTGTACAAGTGTAATTTTTGAGCAAAAGTGCCAATAAATCATGCCAAAACTGTATTCGAAATTCAAATTTAAGGACAAAAATAGCAAATGTATTGTACTTAGTTTCACACTAGTTGACCATAAGCATACCACTTTTACACCTCAAAAGGTTGGCAGAGACCTCTTTAACTAAAACTTAATACAATGTATAATGGTATCACCCTGTCATCACTATGGAAACATGATCACAACAATATAAAATTGTAACAGCCTGCAACATCTTATCCTCAAATAATATCTTTTTTCTCTCTTTCAGATGAGATGGGGAAAACGGTGCATGACATTCAGATCTTGGAGCAATTGGACGACCCATGTCGAGAATTGTTACAGGAATGGGGCATGGGTGTCAATGCCACCCTGGGTAGACTAATAGCTATATTACTAAACCCCAGACTAGATAGGCAAGATGTAGTAAGGAACATCAAAGAATATCTCAGTACATACGATAGGTAGAAAACACTCTGCATAGAAACGTAATTGTCTGCTCATTGGAGCTTATAAAGATATTTCCCACATGCTGTTTATCCATTCAGACTATGTATTCACGTAATTGGCTGAAATCAATCCAGACATGCTGGCACAATGTATTTTCTATTTACTAAATGATCACTGTATTTTCTTTGCATATATGAATAGATATCCATTGAACTAGCATTTATTCTGTTTTACCTGCAATGTACGAAGTACTGAGAAAAATTAATTTGAACTATCTTGTACAGTAATTGTGTTGTTTGTATAATGTAGATGTCGGCCACTATGGTTCAGTGTGAACTTTGCCCCCCAGCTCTGCTATATACATTGTAACATCCAATTTCATCGTACTGCCTGACCCAAAATCTAATTACTCAACTTGTACAATAATGCCAAAACGATAATAGGATATGGTTGGCACATTCCGTTGATTTTTTCTTCAGCATAATGTTGATTAATCAAGAATGGACAGAATCAGGACAGGAGAGAATCAAATTGAGTTCCCCAGACAAGGTGCATTACCTATATATCATGAATATTTGATTTTAAAGTCAACATCATTCAGTTCTTACATGTAGAAAAATGATCTGTGCTATATCATGATAATAATAACTGCATATACATTTATGGTTTTTTTATTTTATTTTATTTTTAGAAATACCGTATTTGCTCTATTAAAATGCATGCTCTGGAGCTATTTATTTTCGGTGGAATTTCCTGTCTAAAAACTAGTGATTCTTTGTTTATCTGATATCTTATAAAGAAAACACATGCTTGGCCAGCTTGCAAGTGCGAGTCCAAAATATGTAGTTTGACCATTTATGTGAAACAACATGCTAATTGAAATATCCATTGAATTGTGTGAGAATCCTTCATTGTGTAGGTTAAATACACACTGTGCATAAATGTATTCCAAGTTGTGACATGCATGTAGGTGGTTCATTTATTGGATTCAGAACTTTATCCGATAACTTATTAGAAAAAAAGGGACTTATTAATTTACCTCTGTGCATTCATGCATCCCACATCTGTATCTTGAACATGTCTGGGTTGATCACACATCTTGATCATGTTTCCAGTTTACATGTACTTTTTATTGGAGCAAATACAGTTGCTAAATTTGTAAACATTATGCATTATATATTACTGTTGAATCATATATATTGTCATTGTAGGCATGGGGCATGCTGGGTAATATCTTATTCGATATGAGGTGACTTTTGATATGACGTTACTGATATTTAGAGAGCAATATTTGTGTACTGTTATTGTACACTGTAATTTCCAGTGCAAGATAAAAAATATCAATATTATAGTTATTTAGCCTGTATTTTTAGATGTAGAATTTTCTAATTATGAAAAACAAGGGAATTTACTTCTTGGTGTTAGAGGGCAAACTACCTATATTTTAAATTGTTTTTGTTTTGTTGCTGTTATTTTCAGACTTGTCTTGTCAGTCTGACTAAAAATACCATTATTTGTTAAATGAAAATTGCTATTCTAATGAAATAGATGTATATGTACTTGGTTTAAGAGCTAAGAATGTACTTATTTTCCTACTCAAATCATAGAAAGGCCCTTGCATAATAAAATGTTGCAAGGTCAAGTAAAAATATTTTAGTCATAAAATATTCTTTGCCTAATTGCAGCACAAGACATTCTTTTTTTTCTACATTCCCAGTATTACATATACTGGTATTAAAATGTAATTTGAATTTGTTTACTCTTAATTTTCTCATTTTTTCAATTTTCCTGCTTAGTACTACCGGTAACTTTAAACAAAATGATTTTTTTTGTCAATCTGTGAATTTAAGAACCATTGAATATACTCAAAATGCTGAAATTCTGTACCAGGTTGTTATTCAGATACCAAGGTTGTTATTCAGATGCCAAGGTTGTTATTCAGATGCCAAGGTTGTTATTCAGATACCAACGTTGTTATTCAGATACAAAGGTTGTTATTCAGATACCAAGATTGTTATTCAGATACAGAGGTTGTTATTCAGATACCAAGGTTGTTATTCAGATATCAAGGTTGTTATTCAGATATCAAGGTTGTTATTCAGATATCAAGGTTGTTATTCAGATATCAAGGTTGTTATTCAGATATCAAGGTTGTTATTCAGATACCAAGGTTGTTATTCAGATACAAAGGTTGTTCAGATACCAAGATTGTTATTCAGATACCAAGGTTGTTGTTCAGATACCAAGATTGTTGTTCAGATACCAAGATTGTTATTCAGATACAAAGGTTGTTATTCAGATATCAAGGTTGTTATTCAGATATCAAGGTTGTTATTCAGATATCAAGGTTGTTATTCAGATACCAAGGTTGTTATTCAGATACCAAGGTTGTTATTCAGATACCAAGGTTGTTATTCAGATACCAAGGTTGTTATTCAGATACTATGTTTTATTATAATACTTTAGTTATGATACCAGCTTAATATGGTACAAGTTTGTGATCCTGGTACAAACTTATTATTCCAGATACAAAGTTGTTATTGAGATACCAGGTTGTTATTACAATACGTGGCTGTGATACTTATGATACTACCCGTATTTCTCCATATTATATATTTACTAATCTTGACTGTGTTAAATGCTAGTCATAAATGGTAGATTGTCTTCTCAGGGTAAATCTGATTGGTTGTCATATATGTGTCTGTGTGTCTTCCATGTACCTATCCTATTACAAGAAGATTTAATCAAAACCAGGCAATCTGATTGGTTGCTGGAAGGAGAACATTCCTTAGGGTTTTTTAACTATTTTTTTGTTATAATTTGCAGAATAATAATTTTTTTCATTCTTTTTTACTGTATATTCACAGTATCTGGGTTGGAGTTTTGTAAACCATTGGCAGGCCAATGGTATTTTTATTTTGCATATAATTAAATGATAACAGTATTAATAATTTGTAAATCATTGTATTCAGAAAGAATATATATTCATAATGATGTAATTTGTTGAGAGTTCGCATGGTTTATAAACTTGGTTGCTTTGTTGAGCTCTTTTGTAAAAGGCTGGTTGCAAGTCTGTCTGAGTGAACACTTAATTATCATTGACATGGATAATGATTTCATTTTTTTTTTCTCAAATTTCGTGGTGATTTTAGTTTTTATAGAAATTTTTTTACAGGCTTGGCTATCAATGAACTATATTGTACTTTTAAGGATGAAATGAGAATGAAATTTTTTTTATTTTCTATTTTGATTCACTCGCTGAGACTGATACGCTCTAAATCACTGTAGTTTAATTTGACCCCCAAACAATATTTGGCACTATGGAAAATTGTAAATTTCCATCAATTATCACTCGTGTAGATGTGACCCTAAATTCGCTGTAACCAACCACTAGATTCAAATCTTAAAATTACGTATACAAATATTCTTGGTTCTTAAAAAGTACATTCTGTCTCGACATTGAAGTGTTTCATTGAAACTGTAGTTATGTTTAACCCTGGATGCTTACAGATTCATGCAAAAAAAGAAAAGAAAGAAAAACATTGTGTTTCTGTTAATTCATATTGGTTCTATTACATTTTTGAGACCCTGGCATCAAGGAAGAAGAGAGAGATAGTTTGCAATGATGAAATTGTACATACGTGAATTGTAGACATATTTTCAATTGTATATAACAAACATGACAAATAGTGGGAGCACTGCTCGGCAAGTTAAAAATTGTGTATTTACTATGAAATTATTATGGTGCTTTCAAATTGTGGTCATACTTGTTGTAATAGTTTATAGATAAATAATACTTTACAGAGCTTTATATTTTCCTCCATAAAGATCATCATTTTTGCTGAAAAGTAGAAATATATATTTTGTGTTCCATTGTCACAAGTGTTAAATTACTGCTGACACTGCCCTCTAGAGATGTAAAACGTAGATGACATTGTTTTTGTATAAAGTGCTCCCTCTAGAGGCATGAAGTGCAATGTATTGTAAATTGCTGTGTGGAATTAAAGTAAGGTAACCTAATCCCAATGTACGTTGTCTTCCAAAATAGTGGTACTGTACATATCTCCTACTGTGTGCCAACTTATGTAACTAATGTTTGTTTAGTAGAATAGCAAGATTTCATCATCTTATGCTGGTCTACATTGTAAATAATGTGTTAACAAACAGCACATTCTTGTTAATAAATTTAATGGCTGATTGAAAACAAATTAAAACTGACTCCTGTATGTTTTTATTTTTTTATTTAAAAATATTTTCTGTATTGAGTGTATACGACTAGCTGAAAATGAGTGTACTCTGTGTGGTCTTTGAGACCTCGATAAATGTGGCAGGTCACATAGATATAGGTTATTCAAATTTAAACAGGAAGGTCATCCTGGGTAACGTGCCATTCTAAAAGCAAATATTCTGTACAATTTGGCTAATAAGAGTTATGGTTATTTGACATCAAGAACTAGCCAGGGCTTCTGCACTTTATATGATGCAACAATTGTTTTTTTATGAAGAATCTTTTGTGTCGCAATTGACCCAGTCTCTTTAGTGACAACCGCACCAGTTTTCAAGCGAACTGTCACTTTATGAACAAATCACCTTTTGAGGGCTGAAAACGAAAGGTTGCATGAACCAGCAATAGGCATCCTCATTTATATTCCTTTGTGTGAAGTCAATTATAGATTTCTCTGAGCCTGAGGAGCTGGCTTTCTGCCCATTATCAAAAACAGACAAATGTTCATCCATGCAACAAAAAAAACATCACACTCCAGTTGAATGTTTGTCTAGACAGGTTCTTGAAGCCAACAGTTTTTGTATACTGTGGAATACTTTATTCTCGCTGGAATTAATTTTCGCTGAAAAGGCTTTTTGGGCATTTTGTATGGAATTTATTTTCACTGATTTCTGATGAGTTTAATGTAAAATATAGGAAAAAAAGTATATTCGCTGGATTTTATTTTCACGGAATCATCCCTTCAGCGAAAATAAAGTATTCTACAGTACACAAACTCTTAAGCCCTGAGGTTCAACATTTCTCAAATTTTGAAATGTTCACCGTCTCAAGAAAGGTAAATTACAGTAAGGCCAGACTTTCATTATCCCTTGTTTCGCGAACCCGCCGAATTAACAGGAGCCGAAAATGAAATAAAAATATAATTTTATTTTGGCGTAATTTCTCGCGCCTGCCAACTTGTATTTGCAAAAAATTGCTAAAAAAAACTTATTTTTATCTTCATCCCCCCCCCCCATAACAAACCCAAGTTGTATTTTCGTGGGAGTATCATGATCAAAGTACCAAAGTCTCCCCAGATGAGAAACAAGGTTGTACATGGAATACATTTTTTTTTCATTTCTTCTCTCTGATCAATGATCTCACTTACAATTCTTTGAGAATCACACAAATCTAATGGGGAAAAAAGAATTAATTTTAATTTTTTTCCGCCCTCCTCGAAAAAATTGTCTTATAAAAACTCTAGAAACAAGGAATAAAAAAATTCTGGTCTAAGCCTAGTTAACTTGTCAATCAGTCTAATATAGTTGTAAAGCACAAGAAGACGATAATTCAGTGTTGCAAATCTATTTAATACTGTCAAATGTCCAGCACCCAACATGCAGCCCCAGTACAATATATAAAACTACTGTCACTAAATCAAACATGAAAAACTTTTTTAAGTTGATTAAAAACAGTATTAAAATTCTCATAATAAAAAAAGCAGTTGGATCAAGAATATAAAATACGATATATTTATATGAACCAGAAATATTCCATGCATAATGAACAGATTCTTGAGATTGCTTCATGCAGAATACATATTTGAGGTCATATACATTTCACATAAATGTCTGATTAAATATATTGGAAGCCCAATTTTTAATTAATCAATTATTACATCCCCTTCAAAATGTCTTTGTTGAGTGGATGGATGGATGGAAATTGTACAAATATTTGATCAAATGCCTGAGTGGTAATACTGGGAATTAAATTTACCTAGCGAAAGTACTCTACTTTCGCACACTGCAAGACCACTAAAACCTGGACTAAAATACATTTAATGCACATGAAATAATCCAAGTTTGCATAAAAATAACAAAATCACAAATGTCTCGGTAACAATTTTGTATACAATAGACCCATACTAATGCATCTATGCCACACTATGCAGAAAACATCAAATTACCAACGAAGCAGCAATCTGTTTTTAACAGATTACTAATAATATTAAAGTGCCACATTCTGCAAATTAAATTTCTTTGTACACACATTGTATTGACCCATTATTTGACACGATTAATGTGGGTAACTGTTGCATTTTAAATACAGACAAACCACAATTACCTCAATGAATGAGAACAGGGAAAATAATACTTGTTTGGATACTTGATGTTTGGCTATACTAACACGTACAGCATAATTATATTTATAAAACTCTACATTTAATCACACACTGTTTGCATACATACTTATTTGTAATTGTATCAATATTTATTGTAGACTGAATGGAAGCGATGGTTGACCTTTGACAGTCAAAATGATTATGACACAACCAATATGGTAATCACTTTTCAATTCGCTGTGACTCCCCATCGATATAACTGATGCAAAATAAAAAAATTGACTGTTGCGAAATTACAGCAGTTTAATCTGTTTAACATTTCGATAAGAAAATAAAACCAGTTTTGACCGAGAGTGGCTTTCTTTCAGAATTAACTACATGTATCCCTAACACGCATTTAGCAAATTTTGTTTGCAGCAAACAGATGTGATAGAAATTTTTAATACTTGTGGCACATATATCCGCTGAATATAAAGTTTTTTGTTATATAATTATATAATTAACAACCTGCCACATACTGTATCTATTGTTACCATGGTTTCAATCTTCATACTGAATCTATTGTTACCATGGTTTCAATCAGCATAGTTACCACCACAGACCTGGAAATGCATACAGTTTCTATGTACGTGAAATGAAAAAATTCTTTATGTATTTTACACAAAAACAAATTTTGGCGCAAACTTGCACATCTGTTAGTAACCACGACAACACAATCCATGATTAAATGAGAAAGAAAAATACCTGTAGGCTTAACATTTAACAAAAATAATGAAGCTTTATTAAAGAACAAAATGGAATGTTTTGAAGTAGCTTGTTTCGATTTTAGTTTATAGGGAACATGTCAATTGACATTGGGGGAGGGAACTTTATTTCTTTACATGTAGTACTTGTTTTTTACTCTCATGAGAGAATTTGTTTCAAACCTTTACGCTACCCCCCCCCCCCAAATGCCTGAAAGTCTCACTTATCACCACAATCGCCAGTCATTTCCTTTCTCTGTGCTATCAACGTTTGGTGATTCATTAGTGACGATATTGGGCTGTGCATTGAGAGATGAGCGTCTATGCACGTCAACTTTCACATCACTTATTGTATGTGCTAACTCTTTCTCTGGCATTGTGGATTTTGGAAGACCTTTGATTACGTCATTCTGAATCGTCTCGCCAACTGGTAAGTTCAGCACTTTACTATAACTGTCCACATGTGTATCGTAAAGTGGTATCACCATTGATAAGGACCGACTTCCATCAGGAATACTTGTAATATTCATCTTTAATTGTGTCCTGCCAGTGTTGCCACTTTGCATAATTTCAGATTTTGGTGAGAACATCGGCAGATCGAGTTCTTCCAAGCTGTCATCATTTTGCAGTTTCTCGTTTGACGAATTGAACAAATTTTTGACATGCACCTTGCTGTCGCAGTGCCATTCTGCCAGGTTCTCCTCCGAGAACTTTGGTGGCGATAGAACGTTTTTCAACTGCCGGTCCATATTACGTCCTAGCGTTCCCTGCTGAAGCCTGGCTAACTTCTCTTCTTGCTCTTTTGAAAGACCGTGCGGGGATGCTGCAGTGTCGTTTTCAATGCATCTTTCTGATGCATTTGTTCTGTGTACAATCACATTGCGTGCATCTACTTGAATATCAGGTAGATCCTGAAGTTCTTGATAAGTATGGTTGAGGGCGCTACTCGTCCTCTCGGTTGTTATCAAGTCCCTGTTCCTGAGTAATGCTGGATGATCAGTTGGAGGTAGTGGAGTGGAACTTGTCAGAGGTGTTGTGGACTGCAGCTCTTGCTCTAATATCTGATGTGGTATTTGTCCAGCTCGTAGTGGCGTTGTTGGTCTTGGCGGTTGATGCAATAGTTGGTCTGGCTGTGATTTTGCTGGAGAACTGTTCCGCCTCATGACTGAAAATAAGTATAATATTCAAATTAATCATCACCAACAATTTAACGCAATGATAATCACATGCCTATATATTAGATTATTTGTATATGCACTGGCTCTTTAATCGTATGCAATTATTTCCCCATGATACCTGTATAGAAAATGGAGATTATACATGCACTACAGGTGATTGTTAGAACATCACCACTAAACGGGAATGTAGTTTTATATAAATAAGTGAATTATTTATTTATTTATTACCTGGTAATTTATTGTGATGTCCCTTTTTCTACAAGGGCTCACTTATTTTTAAAATCAGGAAATACACTTACATTGTATATCCCAGTTTTTGTAAAATATTTCTGGGAAAATGGAAAGTGAAATAAAGATTAAAGAAATTATAAACACCAGGATTAGTAGACAAACAAATAGGACTATTAGGCATGTATTCTACTGAAGTCGACAGCATCCATTGTTGGCAATGTGGGCCACACATTCAAGTTAAAATGAATATACAAAATGAAGAGACATTTAAGAAACATGGTAAATTTGTTTACTGACTTACTTTTTTGTGTTGGCAATGTCCTTGATTGATGTCTGTTATTACCTGCCATTCTATCTAAGCTTTCTGACCTGCGTTGTCTGGGACAGGTTGAGATAGAGCTAGATCTTCCAGATCGACCTGTAAAAATTATCACAGCAATGAAGACTGTTTAATGAGGAACACATTTTTAATTTTTTCTTGTTTTCTTGTTTTATATATATTGTAAATAAACAATGTATTTTACACGCATTGTATACGTGGCTACGAGTTCCATATATATCAAACAGGACGTTGCGTGAAGACTGCCGCTTTTTATGTTGATTGTGTGAAAGAGTATCCAGATTCTATATCCAATTTATAAATTTTTGCGGAATATAATCTACTCGATATACTAATTTGTTTTTTTAATAGCTGATTCCATCAGGTTGACCAATCCCATTGAGAATGCAATCATGTGACCATCAATAAATGCACTTACTTGGTGGCAAGACAATAAATTTGACAACATTGGAAGCAGTGACTAAGTTGACAATTTGTAGGTGTGTAAGAGTTCTCACATCGACATCATTAACCTAAAATTAAAAAACAAACAGATGTATGACACATCGCTACATGTGAGCGCAATTATTCAAATGATTTGATGAACAGGTGTCATAACTGCATACCATATTTATTCTATTAGAAGCACATCTCCAATAGAAATACATATGAACTGTTGCATTTTTTGTATAGGATCATTCAAAATAAGAGTTATTTTGACTAAACATACACCTCTGTAATTGAAGTGAACACATGTGCTACTGATGAAGCAAATATAGAAATATGATATCTAATAAATTAGGAATTATCGCAACTGTAAAACGAAAAGTTGAACATTATTGGTACTTCAAAAATAATTTTGAGATTTTTTTCCTGAAGACAATTCCTAGTTCAGAATTAATTTCTCAAGCATAAAAAAATTGTGGAAGAGTCAAAAAAAACTAATGACGTTGAAGGTACCCAGTTGTGCGGCAGTATCATTTAGTTGCACTGTTAATGCATGATAAACTGTCCCAGGGATATCCCACCAGTAAACTAATTAGACTAATGTGTATTCATTGCTTTATTGTATTGGTGAATGCAGCAACTGGTGCATTCATGCTGAGGTACAACCTGTGTCATTTGCATAATTCGTGAAAACAAATGACCTCTTTACTGCTCACAAAAAAATAAATAATTAAATTTAAATTTTTTTAAAAATGAATATGGGCATACAGTTTGATTTACTTTTTAAATATAATTTTGATTTATTTTCATGAAGTCTGGCAAATACATGCACATTAAAATTCAAATGTACGAGGAGAAACATGAATATTCATAAAATAACATGTGGACTTCATTATTACGTGTATATCTCCAATGTGTATCAAGGCTATATATACATGTACTTGCAAACTCTCATTAAACTGTCAGTTATGAATATTTAATCATTAGAATTTATGAGTACCGGGTAGGTAATGGAAGAAACTTTTACTGGTAATATTTGAAACGGTGGTGTATTCTTATATTTATGTCTGTGTTTCACTACGATAAAAGACGATGGATAATAACCTGATAATGTCAACAATATATTCAATAATATTTCCAATCTCTATATTTATCCTGGTGCCATCTGTACCAGTATGATTAACTGAATTTATTGGCAGGAGTCGCAAGTGTTACGAAATATTATGTTTACTGCAGCACGGATACATGTACAAGTTACGTGACTAAGTAATTCATTTCAATATTAGTAAAGTGAAATTTCCTTCTGCATCTGATAGCCAATATTTTTCACTGGTTATCATTAAAATTAATAAATATTTTTCAAAACACAATTTTGCAAAAAATTTGAAATGATTCAATTTTGATTTAAATACCGATAGTTTTAAATATTTATTTCCTATATACTAAATAGTTTGTTATTTCAATTAGTTTTCTTGATGTGTTTGGTGAATTGTTTTCCAGACTATGGTCTTCAGTTGAAATGAGATGATGTCATAAATCATATGGCGATGACATAATGATGAATGGTCAGATGTACTAATTACATCTCCAATTACAGTTCATTTTAAAAGCGCTGACCCACGAGGTCAACTATCACATGACATGTTGTATTTATCTCCCAAATAGACCTGTATATTAAATTTCGCTTAACCAACAAACAAACGGCACCAAACACAATACCGTATTTGCTCTATTAGTAGCACATGCACGTGAGTACTATAGAATACTTATTTTCGCTTGGAATATAATTTCGCTATTTTCGCTAAAGGGATGTGAAAATAAAATCCAGCAAATATACTTTTTTTTCATCAAAAATCATCAAAAATCAGTGAAAATAGATTCCATGCAAAATGCCCAAAAAGCGTTTTCAGCGAAAATTAATTCCAGCTAAAATAAAGTATCTCACAAAAAAATTACAGAAATAAATAGTATATTTAATGATCCTCTATAGAACATGCAACATTATTTATTGCAGATGTGCTTCTAATAGAGTCAATACAGTATTCAGAATTACTGCGAATTTTATATTTTTTGCAAAATGTATTCATTTGTGTTCTAGTTTTGAAAAATCTGTTATAATATTATTTAATTATTTTAATTAAATAATGACTATGATGAATTTATCACTAATTTTCATTTTTTGGGTTTCATCCTAACATTTTAATAGTTGAACCAAGAATTTAGGAAAGAGGAAGGTATGCAACTCTGATATCTATGTGCGATGAAATGTAATGAACTATTCAATGTCAATGTCAAATGTATTTCTAACCAATGGCATCACAGAACACAGTGCACACTGGGAAAGTTTTGATTGCCAAACAAAAATGAGCGAGACTATCACTTTATTAAAAAATGCACATATATACAAACTGCGAAATGAAATGACAAAAACACTAATCAGTTTTTTCACAGACGTTTGTATTAGGATTTGTAGATATTTGTGATTATCTCAAAATTCATGTGAAATTTCTTCAAATTGTCAAATCTTCAATTTATGTGAGATTGCATTTACAAATCCTCATCTATTAAAACTTTGGTTGTATTTATATGGTCTTGAACTCAAACACAAGAATAGAAAAACAACTATTAAATTCACCGGTAAGTGATTATATTTGCATGTGTATTCAAAAAAAAGACAGCCTACAATTCATCCTAAATGGCAGTAAAACTATAAACTTATATCATCAATGCAAAACTCAAGAAAGTAGTGAAGCAGAAAAAAACACTATGCCAGGCTAGAATGTAATTACTACATTAGGAGCACAGTAAGTGAAGAACAAATAGACATTAGATTCTTTCACAATTTGTTGATGTTTAGTTGTTCGCAATCTGCAGTCATTCAACATCAATAAAACCAAATTGTCAAATTTTAAAGTGAAGTAATAAAATACAATCTTTAATAATATAATAAGCCACATGTTCCTAATAGACAGGCTTTATAAGTGATTGATTTATTAATTTATTGATTAATAATTAATTATTTATTGATTAACTGCTCTAATTTCATGAGACAACATTTTGCAAATTATGCAAAGCAGTGAAAATCACAAACTTTTGTAGTAGTGAAAATGTTTTAAGCTCAGCAACATTTGAAATATTTTTTATTCATGACAGCAATTAAATCAGGTAAACTCCTAGCAGCAAAAATTAAGCTGATACAGTAATCTGTTCTATGTGAGTCTACTTGATACAATTCCCTTGTAAAAAGATTGGTGCTAAACACATTTAATATTTATATACTGTAAAATACTTTATTTTTGCTTAGAATTAATTTTCGCTAATTTCACTGAAGTAATATTTTACATTCAACTTGATAAAAATCAGTGAAAATAAATTCCATAAAAAACACCCAAAAAGTTTTTTCAGCGAAAATTAATTCCAGCTAAAATAAAGTATTCTACAGTATTCTACAGTATTTATAATTTATTCATCTGTTTATTTATTTATATCATATAATTTACATACACATGTTGCATTACCAATTTATTATATTCCTAAATGTTATATCAATTACAGACACAGATGGTTTTATTCAAAATCATTCATTTATAAGTTTGATTTTAATATAAATTTATTTTTGATATTCCTTGAATGATTAATGACCTCAGTTAAATTTACAATCCATTGTTTTTTAAAAGTACAGGATATAGCCTACTTTGATGGATCCAAAATAAAATACCATTAGCCATTAGAAATATATTATACTTTTTTGTTTACACATTATTTTTACTTGCAATGTAATTGTATTTCAATTTGTATTTGCTTACCCCAAGTATCTGCTGTCCTCGTTTCAATCCTGCTCGATGTGCCGGCGACATAGGATCCACATTTGCCACGGTAACGTCCATATTGTAATCAGTTCCACTGCAATATATAGTTTTGAACAATTTTGTAAAATCAAATTTTACAAATTTTTACTTTTTACCCCAAAATGAAAGTTACACTGATAATCTTTGAACTTTTTATCCATAAAGTGAAATACAATGTACTGATATATTCATACTGAATGAAGGTAAAATTGTTTTACAAAATTACAACATTGTACAATATTAAAAATTTAAATATCCGCAAAATATCAACTTACCCTCTGATACTACAGCCAAGCCATCCATCGTCATCAGCAACTAAGATAATATTTTTCTTCTTGTTACTTTTGTTGCTAGGAGACAGAGCATCTCCATCACCACTCCCCAGATGAGACGAGAGGATATGATGGTTAGCACCAGGCATCTGACCCAAAGGTGCTACATATAATGTCAGTTTCTGTGCTGACTTCAATGCCACTACGGCCTCTGCATGCGTGATATTCTTAAATGCTGTGTCATTCACTTTTAATATTCTTTCTCCAGTTTTCAGACCCTACAGTGACAACAAATTAACATGAAGAAATTTTGTAATGCATTTAAAAGATAAAAGGTGGAGAAATCTTCAAACTGGTGATAACATTTACATCTTATGTGTATTTTCTGTAATATTTGTAATATTAATTAGAATTAATACAATTTAACATTTTGATAAAAATGTACTATTTGGTAGTTTGGTTAAAATGTGTTTTGTGACAGATAATACATTTGTGGTTAAGTG